GCACCTGCATTTAAGCCAGCTGGCCGTTTTTTAGATAAATTCAGTCAGAGATGAAATGAAAGTTATTTGAATAGTAATAAACGTTGTAAGGTCGACATATTATTTTTAAATTATTTTTGGGTAGTACCAAAATTAACTTGAGTAATACTTCGTCCAGGTTTGCCAAACACGCATTTCTGTTTGTTGTTATTGTGGATTATTTAATGTTATGGTGAAACGAAATGCGGGAGATTATTTTCTAAAGCGGGTGCAAATATTTTTATTCTTAAATATTAATTCATTTGTAAATGAAAATTAGATTTTGAAAATGTTCGCATATAAACAGTATATTTTGTTGAATCACTCTAGTTTACTAACAGTTTCTTTGATCTTTAAGTAGATACTTCTGACCCATGACTTGTTTTTCAGTTTGAATATTTTATTTCACGTTTACTAATGTAAAGAATTATGTTTTTAATAAAGGAAATCATTATATATTATCACTATTTCATCTCTCATCATCATCATTTCAATGAAAAATTTAAAAAGTAACATGTTTTTTTGGAATCGCATTTTGAGACCTATTACCAAGGTGAAACTGGAACGTTGTAAGTTATGTTACAGAAAAAGAACCGTTCATCACACCAGGAAATTCCTCTTCACATTTTTTTGCAGAATCTGCATCATTCAGAGATAGAAATGGAATAACCCAGATTTTTGCCGTTTCTTCAATATTTAAAAATCCGAATTATGTTAATGCCACTTTGGAATAAACGTTTACAGGAAGTATCAACCTGTTTCTTCTTTCGTTTTAATTAGCTTGTAAATCGACTACAGGCTCTGAAAATGTCTTAAAAATATTGGCAGTTTTAAAACCTATCTGAGCGATGACTACTATACTTAATCTAGAATCTTTATCTGTTTATATAAAGTTAACTAGCTTGTATTTAGTGACCCAGTTCTCGTTCAAGTTTTCCTTATTACTGTTACCCCGTACTGTATATTCGATAATTGCAGTTAATCGTGCACAATATTCAAATCCCTTGGTGGTAAACTTAAACGTTAACTCCCCGAATAGGTTTTATGCTGAATTACATGTCTTGTCGAGCGTTCACTGCTAGAAATGCGGTAGATACTTAAGGAATAATAAGCTATGCATGTTGCCGTTCGAGTTCACGAAATGCAGTTTGCAATTTTGAATAGTAACGTCGCATTTATTAAATTATGCGTAAACATCAAATGTCTGAATTACAATATTTTAAGTCGTCGTTCTATTTTGGGGATGTTGATTTGTAAATACTGTTGTGCGAACGAAAGGAAAATGAATTAATATGGTCCCTCTTTTTGCAGACGTAATACGTCAAAATAGTATAAGTGAAAATATTTTAAGTTTATGAAAAATTTGTTCATATATTCATGCGCAAGCATTCGATTTTAGCAGGAAAAGTGGGATTAGTTCAGGGAACACATTCCTTACTAAAGGCGGAAATGTAACCGACTAAATGAAAAAACCAATGGTGACCAAATGTGCGCCTTTAACGAACTGAATATTTAACTAGGAGAAGAGAAAACTTTAACGTATTCAGTTTTGCAATTTGATGAAGTTAGTCCGGGTATTCTAGTTTCCACTGCCGAGCTTTCCACGTATGACCGCGTTAAGCTCAAACATTTTTAGTTATTAGATTGATGTTCCGAACAATTACCAGTTATCGGCTTTAATTATAGGTTAGCAACTAAGCGTGACAATTTGTTAATTATAACTTTGGACGGCACCAAATGCCACTTGAATCCGTTAGTTAGCTGATATTTACATATTAATGCCGGTTTAATTGATCAGAAGCGGTTACCATTCATCCGCAATTAATTGAGCATAATTGTGAAACTTCCAAATCAGCACTTCAACATGGGAATTTATTCGAATTGTCATGTTTGTGGTCAAACAAAACGAAACCGCGTGAATTTGTACTAGCTAAATAAAACACAATTATACGAATAAGCTTTCATCAACGATTAAATCAGTTTAAAATATTGCACTTAAAATGCCGTTTTCATTTCAATGCACTGCTATTAACTCCGTTTGATTTCCAGCGGATTTAATAAAAAATCCACAAAGGAAAATTATCCTCTCAGAGGTATAATTGAATTGTCTTTCAGCTCGATTCTTAATTAAAAACTTGACGCGGATGTTGACAAATGTCCGTCAAATTTTGAACAGATTGTAGTCACCTACGAGCATGATGGATTTTCGTATAAAGCAGCTCAAATATTGATACTGGAATATAAAGTTTCCTAACTGTTAAAGCGAAATAGAGGCCCGACCACAATGAAATTGATCAATTTTATGATGTTTCCCATTGCACTTCGTTGCCAAATTTTAACGAATTTGGAAGGTTTGTATGGATCTGCTACTTGCTAAGTAATTTAATTGATAGTTTTATATTATTTTTAATAAAATTAAAAAAATATATATAATTTACTTATAAATAATAAAATTTAAAAAAATATTATAATGAACTAGCTTAACACATACATTTGACTTTATAAAGCACGTTAATAGTTTCACCTTAACCTGAATTGAATTTCAATTTGGCACAATCCCAAAACGTGCATCTAATTCCCCGAAAACCTTTTATAGTCGAATTCATTGGACACTCGTTATTTTGGAACAAAAGATCCATTATCTCCATAATTACTTTATCGTAAAGTGCATTTCCATTTTTGCGCTCGATGGCTCTCGAATGGCTTTATTTGGGTGTCACGTTTTCAATATGGTTAATGGAAACAAAAATCTGCTTTTTATTCACGTTTAGTTTTCTCCAATTAAAATTGATAAAATTGATCAGACCTGCAATCAAGCAACTTAATGAAATTTAGTTCTAATATTAATTGTTGGCTGCAGTTGCTTGCAGGACTTTTTTCACGTAATATGGCAAACAGCAACGAAAGTTTTAATTAAAATCCCGATTGGAACTGAAATGCGTGGGAGTTTATTTGGGAGCCGTAAATTCTGAATTTTCTACTCAATTTATTAAACATGTTTCTAATATGCTGAATTTAATCGGAATAACTTTGATTGGGCTAGAAAGCTCTAGATAGCTTTGTTCATGTTAGATCATATTCGAAACTAATACCATTCGTTCCAGTCTTAGTTTGGCACTTTAATCTACAGCCAGACAACACCTCCAGAGGAATGACGCCAATTTTGAATAACCCTGTATAATTGGTTCTGCCCTGTTAGCTTCTACGGGAAGCGGCTTCTAAAGTCGCAAAAAATAGTCGACGTTTGGCTCAACAATCTTTTGTTCCGAGAATCTAGATCTAGCACAAGAAAATTTTTGCAAATCAGCAGTAGAAGGTTAACATTTTTGGCAAACAAACAGCAAATTTGAAAAAGTTTCACAAAACAAAAAAGTGAACAACTGTGTTTGGTTTCAATTTTTTTATTTTTCGGCGATAAAATACAAAAGGCGTTTTGTTAAACCACATATTGACTCATACCGGGCTCACGAACAAAAAGATTCCTACGCATATCAAACAGCCTGTCTAGACTGTGCAAACCCCAAAGAGAAATCCTTTCATAAAATTGCCCTGCGCGGTTAATAAATTATTTGACTTATAATTACAATATTGTAGCTCGAAATACAATGGAAATACTTAATGAGATTCAGGCACCAATTGATAGTTGCTAATTATTCCAGCAGAAGTCTTATAATAAACGAACTTTCCCAGGCTCATTAGACGACTAATATAGGCTGAAAATATACCAAGGCAGCGTGTGTGAAATGCTAATAGAAATCTAGACTGTGAAAAGCAAAAACTTGTTATGCCTTTAATTGGGTTGCCTATAAAGCCAATATTTATTTGGAAACTGGATTTTCAAATTGACGCCACACAACACCAACTCAAAGCGCTTTCAGACGGAAAATTGGTTGTTAGCGTCATGCAAATTTGTGTCGTGTCCATCACTCTTAACTAGTCCAATTTGTATTTAAAATTTAATTAATCAACTAATTGAAAGCCACTGTAACTAAGCCAAAGGTTACCAAATTAGACTAAATCAAAAACAATTATTCTGTGAAGTTTTTAATTGGAAATTTCTACTTTTTACGCAAGAATGACTAAGGTCTTTAGCAATAAAAGAGGCAATAGCATCAGAAAGCTTATTATTGATAATTCATAGGTTTGTGTAACTCCCAGCTCAAGTTTCAAAAGAGTGAAACCAACCACGTTCAGAAGTGCTTCTGCTATGCAAATGTTAACCAATCGGGCATTTTAGTGTCTGGAAAACTGATAACAACAAATTGTTCTACTGCTACCAACATATTGAAATCACATGTATGAGCTGATAATCTTCCAAACAAGTATCAGTTATTCTTTAATTTTTTGTAGAAAACCAGCGAGCTAGAAAATATTTCAAACTCTAAACCTTTTTGTACTCTAAAAGACTCAATGGAAGGTATAAATATGTAATTCTCAAAGTGCGGATTTTGTTGCGGAATGATATGAGTGTCCCTAAAATTGTAGTCAAGTCTTTAAATTTTTCACAGGGCACATGGAGGCTGAAAAGCATAATTTCTCTGGAATTGGAGTCATTTATTGAAACGATTGAGCGACTTGAGCAGATCAAAATACTGAATTCCCATTTTTTCATTTTATGTGATCTTGAAACAGCTGTAAAGCGCGATTTTCATTTCAGATTTTATGGAAATGAGCTTTTCCATATCAATGATCCATATTTTATTAAATTTAAAAATCTCCTATTTGATGGCTGCGCCATTGAAAATTGGGAACAATATATAGTCAATTTTCAATCGCTTTTCAGAGAAGAGTCACCGGCAAAAAAATGATGACCATCCCGATATATAACATCATATAATCGTCCTCTACATAGGTATAGGAAACTGCTTGATCCAAAGAAGAAAAGACTTAAAGGATCATCTCAAAGACACGTGGGTAAAAAAACATAAACCAATAAGTCTCAGCTAACAAAAGAAGGTAGTGAAAAAGGATTGTGCACTTACAAGGTAATAATTTAGCGACGCAAAGCTGTCATCTCGCAGGTGAAAACGATTCATCTCCGAAATTTCCGTAACCTTTGCATATTTCTGAGAGCGGTTTCGCGTCACCGGATATAAAAGACTGGATTTCATGTTGAATATGACGACGCCCCTCGACGCCGGCCCTTCGGAAGGCGTCACTACGCCGGTCCACCCGGATTATTATCTTAAGTGGTCCTTGTTTCGGCCTTTTCAAAAGAAATTTTGACGGCAAGAGGCCCTCTTTATGATGATATATTATATAAAATAGGCATAATAAAAGGCCGCCGCTTTTGGCACCAAAATCCAGATCTTCGTCGGTGATTAATAAAATATAATTAAATTTTGTTTGAATTCATGTATAAAGATCGAGCCCTATTTATCTCGCAGTTGGCAGTGACAGAGTGGAACGTAAAGGACGAACCCCTGAAAAATAAAATTCTCAAGGTTTCAGCTACACATAAATAAAGTCGGTTGATGCTGTCCTAAAGTGTGAGTCTGTAGACGACGTTTTGAAGTCGATTTGCCGATTTGCACTCAAGACCAAAATGCAGTTGATTAGTAAAATTTGTTGTAGACGCAAATATGTGCTGAATTATTTAAATATTTGAAAGCTACCGACATTTTCAAATTATAAACTTCGTTTTAGATCAACTAACCGAAAATGTAGTGGGCAACATTTCCGAATTCTGTTTCTATTCATTCTCTATACTGAGGATAACTGTGTCCCAGATTTAACGCCTGGCTTACAAATTCCGGAGCTTTTGCTTGCTGACATTCCTTAGTCCGATTTAATTTTTTTTTATCGAATCATAGCTCTATTTTTGAATTAAAATGAAGGTACACAGACGAAAAAAATTAGTAGGCAAGCAAAATAAATGTAATAAACATAGCTTGCAGTGTCTAAATAATGTAATGTTTTCTTTGTCCAAGTTTAATTCTGCATGCGGGCACTATCACGTAAGTAAAATTTTGTTGCAAGCATAGAGCTGCCAATCTCTATTTAATTTGAGTTACGTTGTACTCCATAATTAAACAAAACAAAAAAAAATTTCTAAGACGCAAAAGCAAGAATACTTTTTCCTCAATAAATCTAAAACTTAGACAACCTAATGGACAAAACAAAGAGAGCGAGAAAACAAACGCAGATATTAACTTGTAACTAAATTTGGTTTCCAATCAAACAAATTATCATCGCAAATAAAAAAAAATATTTAATTAAATCTTGCACCGCAAATGTGACCAAAAAAATAAAAACATCTCGAATCCTCAGAACAAACAAACGAATAACCATTCAAATAAGTCAGAAGACACGAGGTTATCACATTGTATAATTTTTTGCTCTCTCGACTACGCGATTTTGCTCGCAGAAGATCCGAACTTAGCCAAGAAAGAAGTTCGAATTCAAATTTTATCCAAAAATAGACCTATTATTTATTGAAATAGTCATAGTCAGTTCAATTTGAGGCAATGTATAATTGGTATTCTTTAAATTGCTATATCCTATATCAATGTTACGTAGCTGTTTTAAAAAAATGCTTTTAAATATTTCGCATTCCGCAATGTTATTTGCGCTTCTAAAAATCTTCCTACCCACCTAAACACAAAATCAAAGAAGACGACTTCATTGAGTTCTTTGCAACACTGGGAACCCGTTTCATTGCGGCTGGCGACTATAATGCAAAGTCAACAAATGCAGCAAAAATCAACAATGAGGTCCAGGAATTGCAAATACCCGAGGCAGAGTGCTCTTCCAAACAATAGCTAAACATTTTTTAATCATCTGTCTTCAGGGCACCCAACCTACTGGCCCACAGATAGAAGTAAAAATCGAGACATATTAGAAATATGCGTTACAAGGAAAATTGCACAAAACTACCTGGAGGCGAAGCCTTGCTTAGACCTATCCTCGGATCACTCGCCGGTCTTGATTGAGTATACTTTTGCTATTACAAGTATAAATAATAAACCATCATTGTGTAATAAGTATGCTGTTTGGAGAGACTCGAAGAACTGATCGGAAAACATATACCAACTTACCAATTTGGCTTCAAACAATATCACTCGACTATTCATCCGCTATTTATTTTGATCAACAACATACAAACAACTCACCTAACTGACGGAAAGCCGGCATGTCTACTCATGGACATCAACAAGGCTTTTGATAGTGTCTGGCATAGGGGTTTACTATACAAATTATACAAACTCCACACACCACCATATAGACACCATAAAGAACACACACCATACACAAACCATAAAGAACATACCATAGATACACACCATAAAGAACTTATTAGAAAACACACAACCACAAGTACGTATTGACAACACACTCTTCTTTTCTTTTTCCCCTAAACAAGGGCTTCCTCAAGGATCCCCGCTCTCACCCTTTCTCTACAGTATATACTGCCATGACATATACAATTACAACTTTCGAGACGAAAATCAAATCGATAGAACGCCATACATATTACAATACGATGACGACACGGCACTTATTGTACACGACAAAACTACTGAAAAAGCGACTGAAAGACTCCAAAGACTAAAAAACAACACACTGACATGGTTTTATAAATGGAGACTAACGCTAAACGCGACAAAAAATCAACTTCTGCTCACGAACCACAGACTCAACGCCGACTCCCCCACAATAACTGCAGACGGAAAGATAACACAAGCGAAAAACGACGTAAGGTACCTTGGGATTACAATCGACCACAAACTTAAATTAACTAAACACACACGAAAAATCAGAACAGAAATGATAAATAGAACAAAACACTTTCGATCACTAACATACAAGGACAAATAAATTAGTACAAATACCGCAACAAAAATATACAAAGCGATCTGCAGACCCCTCTTGGACTGAGGACATATACGCATGGCCAACGGAACAGAAAGGACAAAACGATACGTACAAACAACAGAACAAATTGCATTAAGACTAATAACATAAATAAGACACCCCGAAAACCCACTGCACAACCCTTTCAACCAAGTAATATACGAACGCACAAACATGACAAAACTTTCGGAGACTACTACATTTACACACAAAATGGACAAACAACCCCCACAACTGGACCATACTGAATCCCCTTTGCCTCACAAAACCCACGAAACACTCCCGTTTTCGTTCCCCAACAGATTCTTTACTTGAACACCTACAAACGCAACTGAACTAAGGACTAAGATATGTTTCTTTTGTAAGCCAAAAATTTTTTTAAATTTTATTATCGCTGATTAATTTATTCGAGGGACAGGAATAGGAATCAATTTTAGAATAAGCTAGACACATATGTACTAAACAAGGGCAGAAATACCGATTGGGTCGATCTCCTTTTTCTGTAGAAAATAAAGATTATTTATATATATACTGTTTGGGACTCTTATGAAACATTTGTAAACGAGAACATTGACTTATCAATGCCATTCAAAACGGAAATGGATCTATTAATAGCGGTGGGAAAATTAACAACTACTATCCGAAAGGCTGCTTGGCTGTCTACTCCCACACACACTGCAAAGAGCGCAAACCTCTCTCCCAAAGTGAAGGAAGAATATGGCAAGCAACTAGTGATCAAATCCAAGTGTCAAAACAAAATTAAATCAATCCACTGAAAAATTTAAATGTCTTCTTAACGACTTAAAAAATAAATCTATTCAAAATTATTTAGAAAATTTAACACCATTTGAAGCGACAGACTACTCACTATGGAAAGCTGTCAAGAAATTACAGAGACCAACAACATTTGTACCGTCCATCAGAAAAACCGACAACAACTGGGCAAGAAGCGAGCAAGAAAAAGCGGACAAAATGTCTTCGCCGAACATCTATCAAGCGTCATTCAACGATTTCCGCCGGAAAATCAAGAGGAGGTCGAGGTCAATGAAAATGAACCAACAGAGGAGCAAAAATTGTTTTAGCTAAAAGAAGTTGAACAAATTATTAAACACCACATAAATCCCAAAAAGACGCCAGGGTATGATCTCATTACTGGAAGAGTCATAAAAGAGCTACCCGAAAAGGGTGTGAGACTGCTCACCTACATACTTAATGCTGCCCTTCGGTTAAGTGTCTTTCCGCCGCAGTGGAAGATGTATCAGATAATCATGCTTCCTAAACCTGGTAAACCATCCCAAGAGCTCACCTCATATAGGCCGAGTAGCCTCCTGCCAATACTGTCTAAGTTACTTGAGAGACTGCTGCAACAAAAAAGTCAACTAATTTTGATAATGAATAAAATCATATCAGAACAGCAGTTTGTTTTTGGAAAACACCATTCCAAAATCGAGCAAGTGCGCCGTGTGGTGGAGGTAATAAATAAAAATCTAGAAAATAAAACATTCTGCGCAGCTGCATTCATAGACGTCTCCCAGGCCTTTGATAAGGTTTGGCATAAGGGCCTCCTAGTGAAAATAAAACAAAAACTACGCGACCATTATCTGCTCCTAAAGTCTTACCTTACGGACAGGATGTATCAAGTCAGATTTGGCGAAGCTTACTCAAACCTCTACCCAATAGACTCGGGTGTACTACACGTTAGTATCCTGGGACCACTCCCCTATCTATTATATACTGCAAATTTGCAAATAACCGGGTTCACGACGACCGCCACATTTTCAGATGACACGGTAATCATGTCTTCCCATAAAAATAAAAACCAAGCCTCGGCTGACCTCCAAGTGGGATTGGATAAAATACAAAAGTGGATGAGAAGATGCTGTATAATCGCTAACGATACCAAGTCTGTACAAATCACTTTCACAACAAAGAGAGAGGTTACTGAGAGAGGTCCAGCAGCAACATTAAATGGCCGCAAATTACCACAAGCAGGCGAAGCGAAGTATCTGGGTATGCATCTAGACAAACGCCTCACGTACAAAAAACATATTTGGGCAAGAAGGAAGCAACTTGGTATCAAGTTCAGAGAAAGGTACTGGCTGCTCGGTCGCAGTTCTAAGTAATCATTGGAAAACACGTTACTGGTGTACAAATCAATCATTAAACCCAAATGGACATTTGGACTTCAACTGTGGGGATCGGCAAGCAATTCGAAATTCTACAAAGATACCAATCATCGAAATTCCATTGTGTAAATTTTCCCGTATAATGAAAATTGTTATAAGAAACGATTTATAGAGGGTAGGTCATTGGACTTAACTTCTGATGACAATGTTAAAGCCAAACCATTTACTAAATGTTATAGTAACAGGTAACTTCCATATTGATGAGGCGGATTCATTTTTTTACAAACTGCTTGTTTGGATGTTTCGCCTCAAAAATGTTTGTCTTTAAAAAATACAGTTTTTCCTCACGTCATACATTATAATGTACTAAATATATTATATATATACACACATAACTGACAATTTGCACACACGAGTTATCAGAGCGAATTT